CTTCTTCTTCTTCTGCTTCAATAACCCTTTGACTGATTTGTTGTTATTTTCAATTGTCTAATTGAATGTTAAATACATTTTTGGTAGCTTGTGCACAATTTTGTGCTGCTGCAGCAGAGTTGACTCCGGTCGCTTGTGGACAAGCCTTGCCGCCGACCCCGGTCCAACGGTTAATTTCTGTTTGGGTGCCAACAACTATTTGCATTTGCTCAAGTCTAATTGCAAATACGTTTTAGCAAAGGATGCGGGCAGTAGGTCAACAGAAGTATGCGGGCAAAGTAGGCCTATGAGTCAACTCACTCAACACATTTATTCAACACACTCACTCACACACTTACGCTAGCTCACTCACTCACTACCTCACTTGCTTTACCGCTCTCAACCTCTCAATAACTTACGCACAGCACATGCGGCTCTCCCACTCTGCTCTGCTGCCCGAGCAGCCATATTTACTCTTTGTACTTGCAAAAGAAATTGTACTAATGGAATTATTTCATGTTTTCCTTTTCTTTTTGCTTTTCTTACCATATTGCGCTGCGCCACGTCGCATTTCGTTTTGTTTTGTTTGTCGTTTTGATTTGCTTTCGTTTTGGTTTGTTTTTGGTTTTCGTTTTTTTTATGGTTATTTTTTTTCTTTACTTGCCTCCTTTTCTTACGAGCACGCTGTGCAAATAACTCAACGTTCGACGTTCGAGGTTCGACCCATCGCCGCTGCTGCTGCTGCTGCTGCTCCTTGGTGTTCCATCTTGCGTTGCGCTCTCGCTCTCGCTCACTCTCACACGCTCCCGTTCTCTAAGCGACTATGTCGACTGCGAAATCAAAGCAAAGCAAAGCATAGCATACAATATAAGCGTCGCTGTTGACGTTGCGGTCGGCGCAGCAGCCGCTAAAACGAGCAAGAAATAAAAAAAAAATTAAAAAAAAAAAAAAAATGAAAACGGAAAACTTTTTTGTTTTCCTTTGGGGCGTTTCAAATAATTTTTGACTGATTGAATTATTAATAAAATTGATCGAAATGCAAAGAGAGGCGACGTCGCTGCAGCCGCCGCTGGTCAACAGAAATAATGTTGATTGAATTAAGTACTTTAAAGCTTATGGGCCGAGCCAAGAGAGCGAGAGGGGGCAGATAAGTCGTAGTTGCTGTTGTTGTTATTGTTGTCGATATTGAGTGAGAGTACTTGATGTCGCTGCTATGAAAGCTTCTTACGATTGCTCGCTTACCGAAAGAGAAACGCACACGCACACACACACTTACTCGCACATGGGTAAAAATATATTCACGCGTGTCAGAATGAGGCAGCATTTAATTAACACAAATTTCCATTAATATATATCAATTACAGTTGACTTAATTTTTAGGTAATTGATGCAACAACAATAAAAGGCTGGCTAATTGCATCACTGGCTGTTTCCCCACTCTCTCTCTCTCTCTCCCTCTCTTCATTGAGTGACATGTAAATGTATTATTTTTTGTTCTGCTTGTGGCCAGGCGACATATGCGTCGATAACGTTATTGTTATCGCTAGACGTTAGTACACTTCACTTCATTTGGTCGCACAGCTAATCAATCATGTTAATTAGTTGAACACATTTGAGTGCTAACTGACAAATGTGAATATATGGATGGTGTCTTCTTCTTCTTCTTCTGGCCTGCGTATCCACAGTTAAAAATTTGTCGGGCTGTCACAAAATGCACATTAAGCAAGAAAACAATTTTGCTGATATTCGCGTCAGTTTTATTTATTTTCATAAATTTTTTTCCACAATTTGCTGATACCCAAAAGAGAACAAAAAAAAAAAAAGTGCGTCTGAACAGTTGACCGCGGCTGTGCGCTTTTTTTTTTGTTTTTGTCGTTGGGTGCACAGCGGAAGGAAGTGGATGAGGAGGAGGGAGTGCGTGTGGGAGTGGGCAGGGAAGCTGGAATGAAGCAAAGTGAATTAAATATTTACATAAATTTTTAAAAATCAAAAATTAAATAATAAAAATCAAGACAAAAACGAGGCGCAGAATGACGCACGGTACATGCCACGCCGCCAGATGGCAGCTGCCAGGAGGCGGCCAGCCTCAGTGGGTGGCATGCGACCAATTGGCTTTTTATTAATTAATTTATTTGAGCTGCTGCTACAGCTGCTGCTGCTGTTGCTGTTGCTGTTGCTGCTGTTGCATTGCAATTTCAGTTGCGCTTTCATTCATTTACTTGGCTTTATTTTCTCGTGATTATTTAATTGTTTTTGCTGTTATTAATATTAAATATTTATTTTGCAATTCTATTTAATTTGCAATTTATAATTGCATTTTGATTGAGCGCCACGCCTCACGCCATGCCACGCCTCGCCGACACATTGTGGCTCTCCATCAATTTAATTGGCCTTTTCGTTGCTGCCGCGCAAAAAACTAGGCAACACTTTATTTCATTGCCTACTTTTTAGCGCGGCGGCTGAATCAATTCACAGTTATTCGATAATTGATCAACGACAACTCGATTTAAGAGCCTTTTTATGCCCTGAACTCCAAATGGGAAATCGGCGTAAAATGGTTATGTGAAAATGCAGGAGCAGGAGGCGTGTAAGGAGTCGAATATATAAAATATATATATAAATAAATATATATAGAATTCATTGCCGATTATTCAAATATACGCAGAGGGTATCTCCTATTCGAGCAGTCTCGACTGCTGCACTCTGACTTGTTTACCGTTCGGCTTTTGCAGCAGTTCAGTTGGGCCTTGAAATGCATTTATTTACAATTGGCAAAAGTTTGCTAGCTTCAAATGTATTGCAGCAGTGTTGCCACTGTATGTTGCATGCCAGCAGTCTGGCAACATTGGCTAATGTCAGCATACCTAATATAAGTTGAAGAATCTCTGAGTTTTTTGAACTCTTTGATCTAGTGATAGAACTCAGCGCAATGTTCTTCTCTGAACCGGTTCAGGCTCAAACGTAGAGCCAATTCATTTAAGCGTAAATTCACATGGATAAGAGACAGCTGGACAGAGCAGCCACTGACTGACCCAGCCCCAGCCCCAACACCAACCCCACCACCAGCAGCCCACCCACAGAGCAAGCTCCACTTTGTTGCCCCGTGACAATCAAAATTAAAATGAGTGGTTTATTAAAATTTAAACGCTTCACTTTGCGCCCGCAAAAAGCATATACATACATACATATATATATTTTTTTTAACTTGGCCCGAAATGAAAATGAAGGACAATGCAGATGAGCAGGGGCTGGAAGGGAAGGAGTGCGAGGAGTCTGGACAAGGACGAACTGGAGAATGCAGAGCAGAATGGGAATGAGAATGAGGAAATTGTCGAGGCAGAGGCAGAGGCCGAGGCAGAGGCAGAGGACGCGAATGAGGCCGACGTAGTCGTCGTCATTGTTGGCTTTGGCTTTGGCTTTGGCTACTTTGATGTATTTTCATATTCCACAGAGACGAGCCGAACGCACGTTGGCTGCCAAATGAGGGCGCGGCAAGGTGTAGGGGTGTGGGGAGTGTGGGGAGTGTGGAATATGGAGAGCAGGAAGCGTACTATTGCAACATACTCGGTGGCTCTGGGTGGTTAAAAGCATATGATAGCCAATCTGTTATTTGGTCAGCGAATGTTGACGCCGACGTCGGCGTCGACGTCGTTGTTGCGACTTCTGCGTGAGAGAGCCTTAACGTTTGTCTCTGACATTTAAACGTTGATTGATTTTGCTTGCTGGCAGCTACTTAAGCTCCCTCACCATACCACGCCCAACCCACTGCGCACACACACACACTGATAGACTCAACCCCTTCAGTCGCTGTAGCTCCATGTTTTATTTGCCTTTATTTTAATTACATTGATTTTGATTAAACGCGCGCGCGGCACATTGTTTGCCCTCTCGCTCTTTATCTCTTTCTCTGACTCTCTCTCTCTCTCTACTTCTCTGTCTCTATTTGCACATCATTAAAATTGTAAAAATATTAAATGGCAAAACAAAAAACTAAGACAAACACGACTGCAGCACAATTTCAGACATGGCCAGCGTTTCAAGGGATTCTTTTTCGTATTTTTTATCATTGGGGATTTTTCCGGGAAGCGAATAGAATTTCGTATGCTCTTTGAAGATGGAATGCATCGAAAGGGTGTCATTAAATCGAATATAGAATTGAGTACAATCTATTATATTCGAAAACTTGAGCTAACAGTCGATTAATTAGTAATTTTTATCGATAATTACTAAAATGTATTATGATGAATAGCAATGTATCGATTGTTGTCTATTCGCTGCTAATAATATAAATCAATATAATTTCCCAATCGATAATACCGTATGTTCATGCTATCGATATTTATCGTTGTTTGTGCATTTGATAAAAATAATCAGCAATAACAATTAATTGATCGATAACTTAGCGATTGTCGATTTGATATTACTAAACGAACTCTGGTTGTCCACATTAGAATTTTAAATATATTCGATAACCTTTGCTAGCAATCCATAATATGTGAAATTAGCAATCGATAACAGTGGAGCAAGCCTTACACTTGTTGGCAATTAGCGATGGCAATTAAACCTTGTGCTTATCGATCACATTCGATAGATATCGATAGGCATTGAGCGGCACTCTTAAATTGTAAACGCTGCAGCATTTTCCTACCTCAGATGAGTCGCTCCAGCCACCCACCCACCTACTGCCACGCCCACAGCGAGGCTCTGTGCTGGCAACCAGGGCGAAGAGCTTTAAAATATTCAATTGGCTGATGTTGCCTGCCGCTTTTGCTGCTCATTATTTGTTAAGTGGCTTAATGAAGGCGTCCTTCGTCCTTCGTCCTGCGTGCTTCTTCCTGCGTCCTTTCCCGTCGCTGGAGCAGTCGGCCAGGCCGCCTAGTGGTAAATTGTTTACCGTTCGCCCAGTTTTTCCCATTTCCAGTTTGACTTTAATTAAATCGCTTTTTATTATAAAATGTGTTTGCTTAACTTTTACTCATCAACCTTCTCCCCCCTCTCTCTCTCGCTCTCTCTCTCTCTAGATAAACTGGCAAGCTGTTTTGTTTGCAAGACGGAGGCATGCCTGCGCACTCGCCCATTGAAGAAGGGGCGTGGCCAGCAATATGCAATCCCAGACGAGACGATACCAGCGGGCGCACGCGTCTGCAACAGCTGCCAATGCAAATCGGTGCGCAATCGCTATCCCAACTGTCCGCTGCCCACGTGCCCCAATCCCAAGGATCGGGCGCAGCGGCTGCGGAATATACCCACACGGCTGTTCGAGCTGGCGCCGGAGCTGCGTGATCCGCTGATGGCCGAGTTCCAGATCAAAATGCATGCCACACGCTGCTGTTCCGCCTGCCTGATGCGCATACGGCGCAAACTCGATCCGCTCCTGAATCTCACCGATGAGGAGCGACGTCGCGGCGGCGTTGGCAGCGGCGATGCCAGCGCTGGCGATGAGACCGATGTGAGCACTTCGTCCTGTGATGAGCGCGAGCCAGGCGGCTCGGACACCGCCTCCGTGGAGAGTCCCGAGTATCTGCAGCGGCACAAGTCGCAGCTGAACAAGCAGCAGCAGCAGCAGCAACAGCAGCAGCAACAACAGCAACAGCAGCAGCAACAGCAGCAGCAACAACAACAACAACAGCAACAGCAACAGCAGTTGCCACCTCAACAGCAGCAGCTGCCACAGCCACCACCAGTACCACAAAAGCCGCAACAGCAACAACAACAACAGCCAGCAGGAGCTGCCAATGTGCGCAGCGTGGCAGACGCATCCGGCGCCGCTTTAACCATTACGCCCACTCGCATGTCCGCCAAGGCAGCAGCAGCTGTTGGTGGCAACGACAGCGAACGCCTGCTGCCGCCAGCATGCCAAGCGCCGAAGAAGCAGAAGACCAGCGAGGAGTACGACTCCTCGGCGACAGAGACGGCGGACGAGGAGAACGAGAACTCGCCAGCGAATCGACAGAGTCCCAAGGTGATCTTCAATGCGGTCTCGCATGCTCATGCCCATCCAGCCCATGGGCATGGCCATGGGCATGGCCATGGGCACGGCAATAACAATGTGGCCGGACTGCAGCCGCCGAATGCCGCAACAGCAGCAGCCGTTGCTCTAACTGCGCAGCAACAACAGCAGCAGCAGCAGCAGCAACAACAACAGCAACAGCAGCAGCCGAATGGACCGATGAGCCTACGCCGCGAACCAGTCAATGTGCAGGACTGTGTGTTCTCTGTAATTGAGCGACAACTGAAGCAGCAGGCCAAGGGGCCGCAGCTGCCAGGCAACAATCAGGGCAAGCAAGTCAGCCAGCAGCAGCAGCAACAGCAGCAGCAACAGCAGCAGCAACAGCAGCAGCAACAACAGCAGCAGCAGCAGCAGCAGGCGCACAACAATTTGGATCGCAAGGAACTGACTATAGTGCGTGAATATCGACAAGATGGCAATACCTTGCTTAAGCAACAGCAGCAGCAGCAGCAACAATTGCAGCAACAGCAGCAACAGCCAGCGGGCTTGCCACATGGCACCTCTGTGCAAAAGTTGAGCGCGCGTCCTGGGCCGCCGTCGAACTCGGTTAACAGCAGTGGCAGCAGCAGCGGCAATAGCAGCAGCAATAACAATGCCAGCAGCAACAGCAACAACAGCAACAGCAACAACAGCAGCGACAACTTGGCCACTCTGTCTGTGGTCAACTCGCATCTCGCCCCGCATCACGTGCACATGTCACACCCACTGCTGCAGCAGCAGCAGCAGCAACAACAACAGCAGCAGCAGCAACAGCTGTCGAGCGGCGTGGACAAGGCTACGATTACGCCGGTGTTGAAGAAGAGCGCCATTACGCCGACGCCCCCAGACACGATCATCTACAATGTGTCCGGCAGCCACTTGGCCGCCCAGCACCAGCAGCAGCCGCCGGCGCAGTCGGCACCGCCGGCCACGCATACGGTGCACGCACCACCGGTGCAGCAGCGCTTGCCGCCGGAGCCGGAGCCGCAGACGCTGGACCTGAGCATCAAGAAGACGCCGCGCGAGGGCCACTCGCCGCACACGCATCCGCATGCGCACAGCTCGGTGGCGAGCTCTGTGGAGCGGCATCATGGCCCGCCGCCGCCAAACATGGGCGGTGCAATGAAGCACATTGTGCGCACCTCGTCCATGTACCGGGGCGATGCATCGATGCCCAGTTTGTCGGTGTCCGGTGCTCCGCCGCCTGCCTCCAGCTATTTGACCTACCAGCAGCTGCACGGCGTCGGCGTGGGCGTGGGTGTAGGCGTGGTGAAGACAGCGCCTGGACCGGCACAGCCGGGCTCGCTGTATGTGCAACCCGTACCTGTACCCATTGGCCAGGGCCAGATGACGCGCCCAACGCCGCCGCCGCCCGCGCAGCCGCAGCCACCGCCGACGCGCGTCTCCAAGCTGCCGCCCAAGCTCAGTCCGCAGCAGCAGCAGCAACACTTGCACAGCCAGATGCCATCGCCGCAGCAACAGCAGCAGTCGAGTGCCCAACAACAGCAGCAGCAGCAGCAGCAACAGTTGCAGCTAGTCAAAGGCGGCTCCATAACCCACGGCACGCCCGCCAACACCTCGCAGCAGCAGCAGCAACAGCAGCAACAACAGCAGCAGCAGCAGCAGCAAATCATTGTCCATGCTGCGCCCTCGTCGCTGCCCAGCCCCAAGTACGAGAGTCTGGTGCGTCAGACGCCGCCTGGCAGCTGCCCGGACACGGGCAAGCACGGCTCGATTACGCAGGGCACGCCGCTCCATCTGCCGCCCCATCACATGGACAGCAAGCGGGCGTACGACTTCTACAAGAGCTCGCAGCGCTTGAGTCCCGCCCAGGCGCCGCCGCCGCCGCAGCAGTCGTCGCCACAGGCGCCGCCGCCCCAGGGCTACGGCGTGGGCGTTACCGTCGGATCGCCCTACTCGCGCTCGCCGTACAGCGCGGTCGAGCAGGCATCGGCGCTCAGCTCGAGGCAGATCGTGATCAACGACTACCACACGTCGCAGCAGATGCAGGGCCAGCAGCAGCGCAATGTCTCCCGCGGCAGCAGCAGTGCCGGCGGCGGCGCCGGCTCCGGCTCCGACAAGGAGTCGCCATCGCCACGCAACAGCATCAGCGGCAGCTCAGCTGTCTATCCGGGCTATGAGAAGGAGCCGCAGCCCCGCGGACGACCCGAATATTCCAGTCGCGCCTCACCGGCCGATCATTCCAATAGGTGAGTGCATATCTAGTGATTGACGGCCTCGCTGACTGATTGACAGATTTGATCAATTATAGACTTGAAAGTTGACTGAAGCATCGACTGACAGATTGGTTAACTGACTTATTGATCCAATTATTGAATAACTGACATCTTCGATAATTGATTGATTGACTGTCTTTTTGATTGAAAGCTTAAGCAATTATTAAGATTGATTGATCAGTGAATGATTGACTGCGACTGGCTGACTGAGCGTTATATAGTTTCTCATTAAATACTCGATACTAAATGCTCTCTCTTTCTCTTTCTCTGCCTGCAGCACACCCAGTCCGCACCGCACTCCGCCGCCCCAGCGCCAGGGCGTCATTCAGCGCCACAACACCGGCTCGAAGCCGCCTTCGCCTGCTGCGCCGCCCCCGAGTCGCATGCACATTGTCACGCCCTACAATTTTCCACCAGGTAAGTGATTGATCATCGTAAACCCCTCTTACTGAATTGTCATTTTAATCCGGTATCGTCTCTCTCTCTCTCTCTCTCTCTCTCTCTCTCTCTTTCTGTACAGCTGGCCACGATGCTTTGGCCTCGTTTGTGGACGTGGCCGTACAGCAGCCGCAGCTGCCGGTGCCGTCGCAGAAGGATGACAAATTGGCAGTGCCGCAGCCGGCGCCACAGCCACAGCCGCCGCCGTCGACGCACGGCCAGATAATAACGCATGCGCAAGTGGCTTCCGGCCAGGCGGTGCCGCCAGCGGCACACCATGATCTGCGCTACCGCACCGACCCACTGGCGAGCTATCATATGGCTGCCGCGGTGCAGCTCCAGCAGCAGTACAGGCACCTGAACACGGCCGCCGCCTACGAGATGCAGCGCCGCATGGAGCAGGCGAAGCGCGACCAGCGCCAGATCAACATTGAGCGGGAGCGCGAGATACAGCGGCACCGCGACCAAGAGCGACAGCGACGCGAGCAGGAGCGCCGCGAGCAGGAGCGTGCTGCCGAGGAGCGAGAGCGGGACAGCCGACGCATGGAGCGCATGCTGGCCGCTGCCGTTGCGCCACCGCCTGGACATCCGCATGGCCACGCCCACAGCAGCCACAGCCACTACATTCGTGGCCCGGTGCCCGAGACCGGGCCACCGCGCACCATACCTGATCGAGAGCGAGATGCGTAAGTAGACCATATCAAGCAATAAATCTGTGGATTGCTAACAATCAATCAAAGAAACCAACCATATTAATCAATCTGTGAATTACCTTCAATCAATCAGAGAATCAAACCATATCAATCAATCTGGAAATTGCCTTCAATCAAGTAGAGAATCTGACCATATCAATCAATCTGGGAATTACCTTCAATCAATCAGAGAATCAAACCATATCAAGCAATCTGTGAATTATCTTCAATCAATCAGAGAATCCAACCTTATCAATCAATCTGGGAATTGCCTTCAATCAAATAGAGAATCCGACCATATCAATCAATCCATGATTCAGATCTTATCTATCTATATGGGAATTACTTTCCATCAATCCTTGAATTGCATCAGGGCATTCATTCACATCGCATTACATCGCTCAATCAACCAATCAATTTTGACAATAAATTATCTAACATGTATATGCTGATTGATTCCAAAGCTGGCATAACTCCAATCTATTATGTGAAACACAGTACATATCAATGAAATTGACCTCAAGCCTAGTTGCGAATTTGAATCAATCAATTAATTATTAAATTGCGGTCAATCAAAACTAAAACAAGAATGAGTTTTACAAATTTGAAGAGTCCCATCTAAAACAAGATCAGCTGTCAATCATATACTAAAGCAATAAAGTTCAAGTAGCAGTTGTATCAGTAGCATAGTCGTCAATCAATCTCAATCAATTGCTTAGACATCATATAAGTATATGAAGCTAGTGCATCAATCAGTTCAAGTGAAATCAATCAGCTGTGCATGTTAGCTAATTAATTTACAATTAATGCATTTCAATCGATCAATCTCTCAATCAATCTTTCCATGTTGCAGCTACTACCGACAGGCACACGGCAGTAAGCCGCCGGAGGATGCCGGGCAGTTCAGCGCCCAGGCTCTGATTGACGCCATCATCAAGCACGAGATCAATCGCACTGGCGAGCTCAGCAGCCTGCCCCGCGACATACCGCGTCCCACCTACGTGAGTAGACCCTCTTGAGATCCTCCACTCCCCATACTGACTGACTGAACACCCTCTCTCACACTCGCTTCCATTGCAGTATCAGCGCGACTTGCGGCCGTCACACGAGGGCGCCGCCGTCTCGCTCATGGCCGCCGAGAACAATGGCAAGGCGAACTCCAGTTCGCCCAATGTCAACAGCATCGATCTGGAGCAGGAGCAACGTCCGTCACAACAGCAGCAGCAGCAGCAGCAGCAACAACAGCAGCAGCAGCAGCAGCAACAGCAACAACAGCAACAACAGCAGCAACAGCAGCAGCATCAGCAGCAGCAGCAGCAACAGCAATCGCAGTCCAGCTCGGAGCGCTCTGTGCACGGCTCGCTGCGTGGCCAGGGTGCGCCGCCCTCGCATCATGGCACGCCCATTTCGCAGGCGGGCAGCGGTCCGACGGCACAGCAGCAGATCTACACGAAGAAAATCACGTTCGGCGAGCTGACTGACTCGATAATTACGAACGATTACGGGCCGACTCCGCACATGCGCACCTTCCTGCCCTATCTGCCGGAGACGCAGGCCATCGTGACGCCCGACCGCTGGAAGCAGAATCGCCGGCAGCAGCAGAAGGCCGAGGAGGCAGCCGCCGCGGCGGCGGCCGCTGAGCGGGCCAAGCAGTCGCCGATCAATGTCGTTGGCGGCGGCGTTAGCAGCGTACGCAGCGGTGGCAGCAGCGGCAGCGACGGCGGCAGTAGCAGCAGCAGCAGCGGCATCGGCAGCAGCAACAGCGCCAGCAGCGGCCCACTGCCAAGCAGCGGCGGTCGCGCCAACACGCCCGGCGAGGATGCGCGCAACATCATTCGCATGCCCCAAGCGGTCAGTCCGCGCAAGTACGCCCACGATCTGATCATGCAGCAGGCCGCCGTTGCTGTGGGCGCCGATCCGGCGCACTACTTCCTCTCTGCACCGCCCGGCGCTGTGGTCGGACGCAGCAGTGGAGGCGGTGGTGTTGTTGTCCCGCCGCCTCCAACGAGTGGCGGTGGTGGCGGCGGCGGCGAACCGCGCGGCATTAGCGAACCGCGCGGCGGCAGCGAGCAGCGCAGCAGCAGCGGCGGCGGAGGCAGCGGCTCGGGCGCCAACTTCGACAACTATGTGAAGAATCGCATTGTGGAGGCAATGCGTGATGATTCCGCCTACGTCCAGGTGGCGCACATGGCACACGCCCATGCCGTCGCAGTGGCGGCCCACAATGAACAGCAGCAGCAGCAGCAGCAACAGCAACAGCAGCAGCAGCAACAGCATAGAAGCAAGGAGCCAGAGATCAGCGTCTCAAGGAAGACACCCAACCAGTACGAGGTGGTGGACAGTGGCAGGCGCTCGGCGAGCAGCTCGAGCGGCGGTTCGAACAGCCATCATGCGTCCGCCTATCATACGGCACCGCCTCCGCCGCCGTCGGCGGTGAATGCGTTTGCGGCAAGCACCTATGCGTATCCCTTCAGTGCGCTGACTGTGCCGAGCGCTGCTGGGGCTCTGCCGCCGCCGACGGTGCTGCCGCTGGCCCATCAGTCAGCACCGCCGAGCCATTTGAGCGCCAAGACAGCGGCGCATGCGCTGAGTGAAGCGAGCGCCGCAGCAGCAGCGGGCGTCAGCTTGGTCGTTGGCGGTGGCGGCAGCGCCAGCAGCGGCTCATCAAATGCCGGCGTCAACCCCGCCTCTAGCGTCGGCGGCGGCGGTGGCAGCGGTGGTCCGCTGAATGCCAACGTGTTGGCCGTCGCTGCGGCTGCCGCAGCAGCAGCAGCTGCCAGCGAGCCAAAGCCTCTGCTGTCATCGAAGTACGAGGCGCTCAGCGACGAAGATTAGTTGTGACTGCAGGCGTCGTCGTCCGGCATGCGCAGTCTGACGGCAGCAGCGACGACGCCTCCAGCAGCCAATCAACACAGCGCAACCAACGTCTACCAGCACCAACAGCAACAGCAGCAGCAGCAGCAGCATATCTGGAACAGCAGTGCTGCCTATCGACGTCATCAGCAGCCTCTGCCTCAGGCGCAACCACAGCAGCAACAGCAGCAGCAGCCGTTGCATTCGCCGCGCAGTCACCATCAGGCGCATTATCAGCCGACAGCGCTGCTGCCACCGCCACCGCTGCAGTCGACGTCGCCAGCGGCAGCATTGGCACAGCAGCAGCAGCAGCAGCAACAACAGCAACAGCGCGCGCATTACTACGCTGATCCGGCGGCAGCAGCAGCCGCGGCCGCTGCAGCTGCTCATCACTATGCGGGCAGCGGGACTAGCGCAGGTCACGGCTACTATTGAAAACCATGCAAAGAGATCGCCAACCGAAAAAACAACAATAATAACAACTTATGTATGTACCATAGGCAGTTAAATGTAGAAAGCTGCTGTGCAAATATCATTCGAGAGACACAACCATGAAAGAGAAAACAGAAATGCAGAATAAGAAGGCGAGAAAAAATGTAACTAGCTGACACAGTTAAGCATCGCCTGTTTTGAAGAGAGCATCGCAAAATAAGAGAGAGCCAGTCGGTCCGAACAGTTAGTCCAGTTATCCCTGTCTCTCTCCCTCTCTTCTAAGCACATATTGCGAACGCACAAATCGTAAAAGAGCTTTGAGTGAAAACTGCAAAGAGAGTTCGAGAAGCAACGCAACAGCATGCACACACACTCGCACGTACGCGCGCCTATATGTATGTATGTATGTATAGATGGTGCATTTCGGGCATAGAGCTACCATGCAATTTCTCTAACTAACCGACCGAGTGACAGACCGCCCACCCGCCTTTCTATTAGTCCTACACATTGATTGATTCGAAACACACACACACACAAACACACGCGCACACACACTTAAAGGACACACGCACGCACGCACGCACCAAAAATAAAATAATTATTTAAATATTGCAAACTGTAGTTAGGCATGCAAAATCTTCAAATTATCGTAGAGCATATGCTTGTATACGCAAAGTGTATGTGTTAAGTATGTGTATGTATATATCTACATTTACATATATGTATATATAAAGAGAATCAGCAACTGCTGCTGCACTCCCAGTCTCACTCTACATCTTTCTCGTTCTCGATACGATGCGACGTTTCCTAGGGATCGATGCCAACTCGCGCTTTCGCTCTCACTCTCATTCTGACTCACAATCACCTCCTTGCACAGACTCGTCTCTGTCTCACACTGTTCTCGTGTTTTGTTGTGTGCCACGCTCTATCTCACTCTCTCTCCCTCTCTCTTACTCTTTGTTATCGTAATTCGATTTGACCTTTCAGTTATGTGCATTCGTTGTAATTTGTAGCCCAAACGTAAAGAAACCTCAGAACTTGAGTCGAAACCATAAGGAAGTAAAATGTAGTGACATTTATATGAAAATATAAATAAAAATATGTATATGTACATTGAATGATGAAAATTATATAACTTAAATACATATATATTAAACGAGTAAATTTAAATAATATATTAAATGAAAATAAACACACACTGTTGGGCTGTTCTTAGAAAAGAGAAAAAAATCTACAAAAAAAAAAAATAAATAAAAAATAAATAAACAAAACTAAAATAAAAGCAAAAATTGATTGATACATAAATGAAAACAAATTTATATATATATAAATTTATACATATATTTAACGATATAGTACACTTGCAAAAACATTAATTTAAAAAACATTTTGTAAATTTCATAAAATCTAAAAATAATTTTTAAAATATAAAATAATTACTTTTTGTACTATCTATTACTATTTTTTTTTTTTTTACTATTTTCTATGCGTAAGTTTTTAATTTATAAAGCATTATTGTTTTTTTTTTATGAAACATACGGATGCATATAATATAATATAATATGTATATATATATATACATGCATATGTATATGTATATGTGTATGATGTATGCTTTATGCTATTGAATTATGTACGTTTATTATGATAAAAAATTATGTAAGTCGAAGTTAAATAAAAATAAAAACAACTCTATAAATATATACATACATATATACAATACAAATTATATATATTATTACAATTATTATTATTATTATAATTATTATTATTATTATATAAATATGCATATTTTTTTATATAGCAAACAAAAACAAAATAACGAGAAAAAAGATGTTTTAGGGTTTAGCTATTTTACCGTTTATGTGTTTTTTTTTTTTTTAAATTATTTTTTTAATGCAAAACATTTTAAAACAAGAGTTAAAAAAAGAAAAAAATTTACAAAAATTAAATATTTTTAATACACAATGTAACTAAAAAAATAATGAAAAGGAAAAAAAATAAATATAAAAACCACAACAAAACGCTAAGACTTATTCAACAAACATTTGTAAAATATTAACAGAAACTTATAAACAAAAAAAGAATATAAAAAATATATAGATATGCATTTGTATGCATATATGTATGTATATATATATATTTATATGTATATGTATGTACACGTATAAATATACCTATATTAAACACATTAAAGGAAAAGAGAAACAATTCATTGAAGTGCAAGGGCATGGCATATATATATATATATATATATATA